AACTCACTGATGCTTGTGTTTGATCACTGGCTGGCACTCTACCATTTGAGCCATACCTCCAACCCTCTCATTTTTTTTTGGTTGTGGGGCTTGAACTCTGGGCCTGGGCACTGTCCATGAGCTTTTCAGCTCAAGGCTAGCGTTTTACCAATTGAGCCACAGCACCATTCCCGGTTTTCTGGTGCTTCATTGGAGATAAGAGTCTCATGGACTTTCCAGACTGGGCTGGCTTTGAACTGTGATCCTCAGATGTCAGCCTCCTGAATAGCTAGGATTTCAGGCATGAGCTACCGATGCCCGGCACTTTTTTTTGTTTTAAACACTACTCCATCCTCTGCGAGCTGGCTGCCCATGCACACACCGGTCAAAGAGGCTCTTAGCAGGAAGAGGAACAGCAGATAGTGGATATGGAGGCCTCCCATGGCTTCTTGCAGAGAGGTTAGGAAAAATCGAGCAGGATCTGTGATTTAATGGAGCAAAGGTAACATTTCAGCCCACATTTAGTACCATGAATCTAGGCTTCCAGTGAATGCTGGCTTTGGGGTAGAATTGTATGGTATATTAACCCAGGGCTGCTAAATGAAGTCTGATTCTTTTTTTTTTTTTGTCCGGTCGTGGGGCCTGAACTCTGGGCCTGGGCGCTGTCCCTCAGCTCTTCAGCTCAAGGCTAGTGCTCTACCACTTGAGCCATAGCGCCACTTCCGGCTTTTTTCTTATGTGGTGCTGAGGAATCGAACCCAAGGCCTCAGGCATGCAGGGCAAGTGCTCTACCACTGAGCCACCTTCCCAGCTCCTGAAGTCTGATTCTAAGTAGTTGGTAAGCTAGAGCCAGGTGATAACTTATCATGCCTCATGTTCTGCAGATGTGTTCTCAGATCCAGCCACCTATTCCCTAACACCAAGAAATCCAGCAATTTTATACTCTTCTACTTCTGCGCAGAGATGAGGCTGAAAGACCCCTTTCCCTCAGACCCTGCAATCCACGTTTAAATTGATTCTCAAGGTCCCAAATCTCAGGATCTCAGCTCCTCCCTCTGTGGCACTTGAGATTCTGAGAGCCTGGACCCGCCTTCTTTTCCCTAAGGACACATGATTGTGGGGCCCCAAGTTAGAGGCCTGGCTCCTCTCAAACCCAGGAATCAAGGCAGCTCCTTCTCCAGGAATCCAGGCTCAGCTTCCTCCTCAGACCCTAGGGGTCCAGACCCCAGCCTCCTCCCTCAGACCCAGGGGTCCAGGCCCCAGCCTCCTCCCTCAGACCCAGGGGTCCAGGCCCCAGCCTCCTCCCTCAGACCCAGGGGTCCAGGCCCCAGCCTCCTCCCTCAGACCCAGGGGTCCAGGCGCCAGCCTCCTCCCTCAGGCCCAGGGGTCCAGGCCCCAGCCTCCTCCCTCAGACCCAGGGGTCCAGGCCCCAGCCTCCTCCCTCAGACCCAGGGGTCCAGGCCCCAGCCTCCTCCCTCAGGCCCAGGGGTCCAGGCCCCAGCCTCCTCCCTCAGGCCCAGGGGTCCAGGCCCCAGCCTCCTCCCTCAGACCCAGGGGTCAGGCCCCAGCCTCCTCCCTCAGGCCCAGGGGTCCAGGCCCCAGCCTCCTCCCTCAGACCCAGGGGTCCAGGCCCCAGCCTCCTCCCTCAGGCCCAGGGGTCCAGGCCCCAGCCTCCTCCTCAGGCCCAGGGGTCCAGGCCCCAGCCTCCTCCCTCAGACCCAGGGGTCCAGGCGCCAGCCTCCTCCCTCAGGCCCAGGGGTCCAGGCCCCAGCCTCCTCCCTCAGGCCCAGGGGTCCAGGCCCCAGCCTCCTCCCTCAGGCCCAGGGGTCCAGGCCCCAGCCTCCTCCCTCAGGCCCAGGGGTCCAGGCCCCAGCCCCCAGGGGTCCAGGCCCCAGCCTCCTCCCTCAGGCCCAGGAATCAAGACCCAGCCTTCAGCCTCAGGCCCAGAAGTCCAGACCCCAGGCCTCTTCCCTCAGACTCAAGGATCCACGGCCTAGCCTCCTCCCTCAGACCTACAGTCCGTGGCTGCTGCTCTCCCCCGAGCCTCTCTTTAAGCAGTGATGTTCCCGCCCGCTACCAAATGACCTCACCGAACCTCACAGGATGTTCTGGAGCCTTCTTCTGCACTGCGGCTCAGTGAGTTACGGAGGGCGGGGCCAGAGGGGACACTCGAAGTCTTATTGGCTCGCACGAGAGATTTTTTTTTTCCAGCCAATGAGCTCAGAGAGTCGCTGCATCTGATTGGCTCCTGGACAGCCAATTACTGGTAAGCCCAGATGGTGGCACGCATGCGCAGCAGTCAAACGGGCAAAAAGGGGGTTGGAGCTGAGCTCTGCGCATCCCCGCGTGCCCGCGCATCCCCGCGTGCCCGCGCATCCCCCCCCCGTGCCTGCGCATCCCCGCGTGCCCGCGCATCCCCGCGTGCCCGCGCATCCCCGCGTGCCCGCGCATCCCCAGCGGAAACGCTTGACTCTGACCGCCGAACCACATGGCCTGTCCAGACAGCCTCGCCTCTTCTTAACCCTCCATGTTCGGCTGTCCGGGCCTCCTCCACGGCCTCCTCAGGGTCCCTGCAGGGGTCTCTATAGTTTATGCTTTAAGCCGGGCGCCAGTGGCTCACACCTGTCATCCTAGCTACTCCGGGAGGCTGAGATGTGAGGATCATGGTTCAAAGCCAGCCCGGGCAGGAAAGTCCATGGGACTCTTATCTCCAATGAACCAGCACAAAAACACAGGTGGAGACTTTGCCAGTAGAGGATGCTAGGGGGAGACTGTGGAGGAAGAGGGGCTAGGCCAGCCCTGGGGGTAGAGATTGCATCCCAGACCCCCCCCCTCCCCGACCCACCAGTCCCCCTTTGCTCTTCCCGCCTCGCCCTCTGTGCTGGCATTGGGGCTCAACCTCTCAGCCTCTTCAGCTCAAGACTGGTGCTTGACCACTTGAGCCACATCTCCACTTGTAGCTTTTGTTGCAGGTTAATCCTGGATTGCTCTTCTCAGGCTGGCTTCTAACCTTGATTCTCGGTGTCTTCACACCTAGGACCTGTTATCTCCACCTTCATCTTCTGATGATTTATGAACTACTGGTGGTTCCAGGCAGTAAGAGAATTGACTTCATTGTTGTTATCACACATTGAAACGACTAAGGAATGGTTCAGAGAAACTGTGGCCTTGTGTACGGAGGCCTTGGACTTCCAACTTGACCAGGGGAAAGTGTGGATGCTTAGGGAGAAGGGGATGGATTGTGGAGTCTCCTTCTTCTTCCTGGATTCAGTTTTCTTCCCTTCTTTCCCTTTCTTGGTGCTGTGAGTGATTTCTAGGGGAATTGCATCCATAGGATCTCCTACCCTATGGCTTTCAACTGCATAGCCATCAGGGAGTCCCAACAGGAGGGTGAAGCTGGAATATGATTCCTCCCCCCAATAATCTTTTCCTATAGAGTATAGGCTGCATACACTTTTCAGCCTGAAGTCAGAATTCCTGTAAGGTGAACTGTCCCCTCTCTCTTCCACCTATAGCTCTTTTTCCTCCCCTTTTCTGGCCTAGGATGCAAATGAACAGCACTAGGAAAGTGCTAACCTTTTTGTCCACTCCCTAACCTATATCAACAATCCCACTACCTCCCCTTCACTTGGACCCTGGGTGATAAGGAAGCAGTACCCTCTGTATCCTTAACCCCTAAGTCATGGTAAAACCCAAATGCAAGGCATGATGAAGACACACGTCTCTCACTGAATGAACATCTTCCCCTGACATAGATGAATCCCAGCATTGGGAGGAAGAACGGGGACTTGGTTATCAGACACATGTGGCCAGTCCTTTAATGTCCACTGCCCCACAAGGCAAGTTCAGTTGCTCCTGGGCTCTTAGTGTATTATCAGGTGGACAGAGTATGTGCGGGTGCATGTGGAGGGTGAACGTATATACAGGGGATGGGAAGATCATTTCAGGTAGAATCACAGCGAGCTGGGTCCCTGTCTCTGGAATCCTAGATACTCAGAAGGCTGAGATGTGGTTCAAAATGAACCCTGGGCAGGAAAGGCTGTGAGATTTCATTCCAATTATCCAGCAAAAAAAAAAAGAGAGAGCTGAGAATCTGAGAATATGGCCTAGTGGTATAGTGCTTGCCTACCATGCATCCCTGGGTTTGATTCCTCAGTATCATATAGAGAAAGCCAGAAGTGGCACTATGGCTCTAGTGGTAGTGTTAGCCTTGAGCAAAAAGAAACTCAGAGACAGTGCCCAGGCCCTGAGTTCAAGCCCCAGGCTGGCAAAAAAAATCCCAGAAGTGGATCTGTGGCTCAAGTGGTAGAGCACTAGTCTTGAAAGGAAAAAGTGAGAGCTTGAAGCACAGACACAGGAGGGTGGGGGAGAGACCGAATGAAAGGAAATGGAGACCTCAATAGATCAGATCAGACTTTAATCACTGATGCACAGGGGTGCTAAGGACCACCAGGAAGATCAGAAGTACAAGGGGCGCAGGGTACGTGTGTGTGTGTGTGTGCATCCAGGTTTATTTTTGTTGGTTTTTTTGTCGGTTGTGGGACTTGAACTCTGGGCCTGGGCACTGTCTCTGAGCTTTTTAATTCAAGTGTAGCACTGTATCACTTGAGCCACAGCGTCACTTCTGGCTTTCTGGCACCTGGCAGGTTCAGGGTTTAAGTATTTAAAAAAATGAGGAAGTTATTAGTTGTGAAATCGGGCAGCTGCTGCAGACAATCTCATGAGGGGCAATCTGCACTTGTAGAAAGGGGGAGGGGAGGTTTGTTCTGAGAACTGGCCCTTGGGTGGCGGAGAGGTCAGTGGGTTGTGGGATTAGGAGAGCAATGCGGGCTCCTGTCACCCAGATCACAGGGAAATAAGATTAGCAGGAAGGGAAAAGCTCATCACACCCAAAGCCAGCCCCAGTCCCAAGACTGGAGCCAGGCAGGCGGCAAGGGCAGCGCTGTTAAGCTGGAAATTCTTGGCCTTTTTGGCCTCCTTATTCTCAAAGCTTTCTGTCACCGAGAAGATCCCGATGTTCTGGGTGCGGTTCAGCAAGGATGTGGAGTTTGGGGCCATGCAGCCCTGAATGGTCAGCGGGGAGGAGAGTCCGCCTGCAGGATGAAATTCTAGTCAGGAGGCCGGGCGCTGGTGGCTCACGCCTGTAATCCTAGCTACTCAGGAGGCTGAGATCTGAGGATCGTGGTTCAAAGCAAACCCAGGCAGGAGAGACCGTGAGACTCCTATCTCCAATAAACCACCAGAAAACCAGAAGTGGCGCTGTAGCTCAAGTGGTAGAGCGCTCGCCTTGAGCTGAAGAGCTGAGGGACAGCGCCCACGCCCAGAATTCAAGCCCCATGACCGACAAAAAAAAAGAAAGAAATTCCAGTCAGGGAGGGGTGACTTTAGCAGAGGTCAAAGGAGTCCCGGTGCACACTGCCTGCCTCCTCCCTTACACCCAGGAGTCAAGGGCCTGGCTCCCCCCGCCTCAGATCCAGTTCAGGTCCCCAGATCCTCCTTTCTCAGTCCCAAGGGGCCAGATCCCAGTACAATTCTTTTTTTGGGTGAAGGTACTGGGGCTTGAATTCAGGGCCTGGGCACTGTCAGCTTTTATTGCTCAAGGCTAGTGCTCTACCACTTGAGAAACAGCTCCATTTGCCTTTTTTGGGGGGTGGGGTGGGGTGGGGGTGATTCATTGGAGATAAGAGTCTCATGGACTTTCCTGCCCTGGCTGGTTTTGAACCCCAATCTTGAGATCTCAGCCTCCTGAGTAGCTAGGATTACAGGCGTGAGCCACCTACACCTGGCCCCAGTACTATTCTTTTTGTTTGTTTGTTTTTGCCAGTTCCTGGGGCTTGAACTCAGGGCCTGGGTGCTGTCCCTGTGCTTCTTTTGCTTAAGGCTAGCGCTCTACCACTTGAGCCACAGCGCCACTTGTGGCTTTTCCTGTGTATGTGGTACAGAGGAATCCCAGGGCTTCACACATGCTAGACAAGCACTCTACCACTAAGCCAAACTCCCAGCCCCCCAGTACTATTCTTTTTCTTTCTTTTTTTTTTTTTTGTCGGTCATGGGGCCTGAACTCTGGGCCTGAGTTCTTCAGCTCAAGGTGAGCTAGCGCTCTACCACTGGAACCACAGCGCCACTTCCAGCTTTTTCTGCTTATGTGGTGCTGAGGAATCGAACCCAGGGCCTCAGGCATGCAAGGCAAGCACTCTATCACTGAGCCACCTTCCCAGCCCCCCAGTACTATTCTTATGCACAGGGGTCTAGGTCCCAGCCTCCTCCCTCAGACCCAGGGGTTCGGACCTCATCTCCTCCCTCAGCCCCGGGGGGTCTGGGCTGCCATTGTCCTGAGCACTCACCTCCAAACATTTGGAAGCTCCCTCTGTAGCAGTGGGTGGCGCTCTTAGGACAGGTGACAAGCGTGGAACTGGAGAAGCATGAGCCAAGGATCTGCACACAGGCAGGACACTGCACGTCTCCTGGCACAGGGGGAGCTGGGAGCACAGAGTAGGTTGGGGGTACACAGCTCTGCTTCTCAGCTGCAGCCACCCACCGGATCCCCAAGCACAGGGGTCCCCACAGGCCCCCGCACTCCATACCTCGCTGAAGGGATGAAAGCAGGACACTGCTGCTGTTGGCGTTGTTGCACAAGTTTGAGGAGCAGAACCGGCTGTAGGAAACCACCAGAATTCCGGGGGGCCGAGAATGGATGGAGACGCCCTGTGACTCCTGTCCCCCGGGGACCCCGCAGCCTTTGCTCCCCACCAGGATTGCACTGGGTCCTGGGGGAGGAAGAAAGCAAGAACTGGGCCGGGTGCTCGCTCCATGGAGGGTAAATGCAATCCCTCGTTAGAATGGTGCAGGCCGGCTTGGTGTTGGTGGCTCCCGCCTGTCATCCTGGCACCTGAGGCTGAGAGCTGAGGATCGAAGTTCCAAGGCAAGCTGGGAGCTGGTGGCTCACGCCTGTAATCCTAGCTACTCAGGAGGCTGAGATCTGAGGATCGTGGTTCAAAGCCAGCCCGGGAAGGAAAGTCCATGAGACTCTTATCTCCAATTAAAACAAAACAAAAAACCCATGAGAAAACCAGAAGTGGCGCTGTGGCTCAAGTGGTAGAGCGCTTAGCCTTGAGCTGAAGAGCTGAAGGACAGTGCTCAGGCCCAGAGTTCAAGCCCCACGACCAACAAAAAAAGTTCCAAGCCAGCCCTGGTAGGAAAGTCTGTGAGGTTCTTATCTCCAAACTAACCAGCAAAAAGTCAGAAGTAGAGCTGTGGTTCAGGTGATAGAGCACCAGCCTTGAGTACTAAAGTCCTGATGGATACATAGAGACACATCAGTTTAGTGTCTGGTGAAGACAGATAAATGAATTGCCATTCAGATTCCTGTGTGTGTGTGTGTGTGTGTGTGTGCATGCGTGTGTGCATGCCTGTGTCTGTGTGTTAGTCTTGGGGCTTGAACTCTTTCCCTGAGGTTTTTTGTTGTTGTTGTTGTTCAAGACTAGTATTTTACCAGTTGAGCCACACCTTCAATTCTGGCTTTTTGCTGTTAATTGGAGATAAAGAATCTCCAGGACATTCCCATCCAGGCTGGCTTTAAATCATGATCCTCAGATCTCAGCCTCCTGAGTAGCTAGGATTACAGGCGTGAGCTACTAGTGCCCAGCTTGTCCTCAGTGTTTTAATCAGGGGACACCAAGGTGCAGAGAAAGGCTGTGATGGATGGAGTTATACAGACATGAGGGGAAGTGGGGGACAGAATACAGAATACAGACATGGGCGTGCTGGACACAATACAGGGGTGAGGGCCTTACCATCCCCTCCCCACCCCTCCCCTGGTGCACATACCTACGTCGATGAGTAGCAGTGTCTCCTGACACATCTCCCCAACATTGCATGTCTGCTTCCCATTCACACTCCACTCTTCGGGGTCTTGGTTAAAGCCACTTCCAGACTGCAGCATGACCCCCTGGAAACACGTCAGAGCATCTGGGGGTTCAAGGAATCACAGGACTTAGGTGAACCAGGGAAGTCACAAACAGACCACGTGGGGTCCCCTCCCGGCCTCGCACGTGCTGGGTGGGTGAGAAGCAGCTGCCTCGCTGGGCCCGTGGCCTCCAAGGATGCCTTTCAACCCTGTGGTCTTCCCCAGGGCTGCGGGGCAGGGCCGGGCCTTGCTGTCCCCGGCTGGGGCTGGGGCTCACCTGACTGGGGACCGCAGCTCTCACTCACATCCATGACCCCGATTGTCTGGGTCCCATTGAGGAGGTTGCAGCCCGGCCTGGGCAGGCAGCCCTGTACCCGC